ATTTTTGTGTTTATCGACCTACTGCTTACTGTCCTTTCGCGCGTGTGGTTATGCATGAGTGAACAAACAAACAAACAGACAAACAAACAGCTAAACCGATTCACGAAACTGATGAAGAAATTGTGTATTATGCTAGTATATATTGTACTACATGTCTAATGTATATAAGGTACTCTGTATGTTTCTGTATGTGTGCATACAAACTACACAAAATGCATGTACGTGCATGAAGATGTGTTTATATATAGATAGCTATGTACATACATACATACATACATACATACATACATACATACATACATACATATATAATATATATATATATATAAACGCACACACATATGTATATGTGTGTGTATATATATATATATGACTTGTCTTTGGGGTCTGTGGCCCACGTGTACCTGGATGTGTAGGGGTACTTCGGATGCGGGATTTAACTTAGGCTTGTTGATTGTAAACTTCCGGGCTGTGGACTTTCGTGTGTAAGGGCTTAGGATTCCGCGATATGGTACCAGATTTCTCGACTTAGGGTACTCCGGCCACACTTTGGAAGCCCTTCTATGGATTCTTCATGGGCCACACAGGTTTTGAAGTTTTCCTGGAGCCTTCAAAGTACAAGTAAGCCTGAGCTAAAGAATTCCCTGCGCATCTTTGCATCACCCTTGGGCGGGGTTGCATGAGTTGCATCGAGCCCGGAGTGAACGCTATGCGAGCGAAACGCAGGGTTTCGGGTTTAGGGTTTCGGATGCATGGCTGGCTTTATGAAAAGGTTTTGTGTCTGAAGAACCTGGGGCCTCGTGGATTTTCTCCACGGGTTCGGCTACGACCCCTGCTTTTTTTTTTATCAAGATGCGAACTCGAAACTGTCAGTCCATAATCTCAGCTCTTCCGTCCGGCCAGGGAATGAATTGTGGGATGCAGCCCTTTGAGACGGTACACTGATAGTGAAGTTCATGCGTTTGCAACGGAATACCTCTAAACATGGCTCTATAGTGTCATGGGCCTGTAGTGAGCACCGCATTACGTGCGAAACTGTATGAGTATGAGCATAAGATGCATGACAGTGCGATGCATGGACTCGTAAGTAATGGTACAAAGCCGTCCTATGCCTTGTTCATCCGCATCGTCATATTTTGCACCAGGCTGGGTCGACCATAACACCGTGAAGTAAAGGTTGGCATGCACATATGGTTGTGCGCACGGGGGAGGGGGAGGGCGGGAGGGGTGGGGGGCTGCCTGGTGCCACTCTCTCTCTCTCTCTCTCTCGCTCTCTCTCTCTCTTTATCTCTTTCTCCCTCTTTCCCTCTCGCTCTCTATATATTTCTTTTGGCTACAAGAACGGCGTACCCTGCGTTGCCATACATGACATTGCACGCTAAGCCGCTAAGTCCTTCCAAAACCTTCCACTATGCGACGCTGCCTGGACCTAAAGTCTACAACACGCTTGAGAACGAATTGCCTTTGGGATCTGTCTATAGAGCCTCGGTTAAGGCTTGATGATCCATGAATTCGGTATTTGTCAATTACAGGGCTCCCGTGCAAGACCGGAGACTCCGGAATCGGCGGACTCCCATGGGCTCGTTAAAAAAGTCATCGACAAGCTCAACATCGATGTCCGTCTGTCCTTTTCAGCCTCAGAGGAAGGGCTTCCTCAATTTTTGTTTAAATCTATATCATCCGGCCGAAACAAGACCAGGATGCCTGTGATCAGGAGAAACCCAAGCCCATCTAGTCTCCTATCCTTACCCAATCCCTGTCTTAAAGTCGTCAGGCGGATGGCAGTGAGCACCTTTCGTACATGAACCCTGGAGACGAAACCCTAAGCACCAAACCCTAAACTCCGAACATTGAACACAGAACCCCAAGTCATAAACGGTCGTGGTAACTGATACCCCAAACCCTGAACCTCAAACCTAGAACTCTGAAGCTAAGCCCTGAACCCGTAGCAAGCCCTTAACAAACCTTCATGCTACCATTCCAAAATCCTGATGAGACCTTCAACCTAGACAACGTGTATACAATCCAGGTGAAAAAACTCACAACACCATCACGAAACCCTAGAATCCTAGAAAACCTGCACCTCAACCGATCTTGGCTCTGAGTTTATTTCGTCTTCGGGGCCCGAAATCGAAGCCCAAGGGCCGTGCTGGGGGAGTGTTCCCTCTGCCGCCCAACGAGTTTTATCAGGGAATTCGTGCAGCTGCGAAAGGTTTGAGGTTGTGGGTTTAGGGTCTAGGGTTTAGGCTTTGCTGGGTTTAGGGCTTAGGTTTCGAGGCTTTGGATTCAAGGGCTATGGGGCCTGTAGACCTTTTTCACTTACGCAGACACGCGGCAATCTTGTGCACATAGCCACTGTCAGTAGCTTGATCAATGTGAGATGAGAAAGTTTAAAGTACGCCGGACGGGTCTAAAGAAACATAGTATAGGTCTGGGTTTTTGGCCTCCAACCAAAACAAACTTATGGCTTGAAAAACGGAAATCCTTGAGCTCTCATTTCTACGTGTCTGAATCGATGGCGTAAAGAATAACGCATACTCCCTAGCCCCATTCTCGTTGGTGTAACAACAAGAACAACAAGTATGATACTGGTTATCGCGACTATAATACGATTAGCTATTGTTACCATATGCTGTTTTGTTATTCTTGTCAATCACAACTGATAAAACCACTATTGCTGTTTACTTTAATGTTGTTACTATATGTTGTTAATGTTACTCATGTTCTTACTGTTCCAAGGCTGTAGAACAATGATGGTAAGGCCATTCAGACTGTGATGACGCGTCTAGTTATTCATGTTGTTGTACTGTTCCTCTCATTATTGTGGCAACTTTACTTCTGTTACATATTGGAACGCCTAAACTCGGGCACGAGACCTCGACTTCGGCAAGGTCCAATGCAGCTGCAAACTGTCCCGAAGCGCAGGCTCAAGGACATTAGCAATTACTGTAGGGTGAGGGCCGCGAAGCAGCCGTTCTCAAGTTCTTTTTGGAAGTGACTGGGGTGGGAGCCGTCGTCGTCGTCTCTCAATAGCACTCCGAAGCAAGAGAAGGGTACAGGCCTACTGAGTGAGCTACAACCCCGAAGACGCTAAACCCGTTGAAAGCAAAAACAAACCCTTGTGAAAAAAGACCGGTATGCCTTCAAAAAACGCGAGGTGACCCCTAAACCCTAATCCTACATAGACAGCAATCAAAATCATTGTCTACTTGGGGAACTCTATGTAATTCTACGCCATCGTTTGGGAACCCAAAAGAGACGCCCTAATTTGGACAACCACCTAAATCACTGAGTTACAAGCCTCTCTATCGGATTACGACCTGCGCTTCTTCTTCAGCCGCGGGATTATCCGCCACAGCTCAGCGTTCCCAGCGTTGCTGGAATCCTGGGTGTTTTGTTAGAGTTCAGCAGGACTACAAACACAAAACAATGATTAATGATCAAGGCCGTGTAGAAAAAATGGCAGTACAATGAATTAAGCAAACACAGTAATAAGACTGCTGCTGATGGCTTTAAAAAAAAAACCTGAAAGCGGGCCTTTTAAGGGTCTGATCTGGGGGTGTCCCAAAATAGGGGACCCCAATATAGTACCCTAACTAGTAGGATCCTTATTCTACGGACCCCAAAATAATGTACCTCTTCTTGTCCGGAAACTCCGCAAAAACGGCTGTAGAACGGCGATAGCCAAAGCTTAGGAGCTTCTCCGGCTCAGAGGGAGCTTCTGGCCACAAGTAATGCAGGGGCCTTAATAATTAGAAAAGGGTTTTGGGACGATTATACTATGGTTTAATAAGGAACCCGCAAAATTAGTATTGGTAATCGCTACGGCTACATTAAACCCTAAATCTCGAAGCCCTATATTCCGCACTCTCTGTGCCGAATAACCACCGAAATCTTTAAACTCTACAACTTTCGGGCTTCTGCTTCGGGATTGCGTGCTGACCTTCGGGAGTTTGGGTTGAGGTTTGGGGTTTTGGAGCGTAACGCTTCACCCACCCTGCAGGGGCGTAGGCTCAGGGCATCTGTGACCAAGAAACTCGTGGAAGCAAGGCACCATCACACTTTCTTCGGGTCTTCAGGGTTCACATGTGAGGGCGTTTTAGGCATCGGGCTTCAGGTTTAGGTGATGAGGTCCTCAAGTTAGGGCTTAGGGTAGAGTTTAGGGTCACGTGTAGGGCTTGGGGAGGGTAGGGCTCAGGCTCAGGATCGGGTTCATTCTAAGAACCACCGATAGCTCAGTGCCCCTTTGAGTGTAGTTCCAGCTGACGCATTCCTGACGTCTACGAGCAATCCAAACCGACTTTCAGTCGTGGCCTCCTCAGTAATATGTAATTCCCGGGGTTTGGGATTTGCTTAGTTGCTGGGCCCATAAGCCCAAGAAATTGAAAAACTTTCAGATGTCAGTTCTATAGGAGATCATACGATCCCAATATAAATATATCGTGTACTCATTCGGCTACTAAGTTTAGGATGAAATCAGAGCGGAGCTGGACGAAAACAACCCCCCGACACTACGACGGCCCGACGGCGCAGCAACATCAACTCTGAAGCATCCGACCAAAAACCGAGAATCCCTCTAAGATAACTTCGACCCTGAGCCCTCAAAGCCCTAAACCCT